CTAAAGATTAAGTGAACACTTCAACCAAAAGAACATACTGCAAATTTATTTTTTGTCTAGCACTCTAAAGTAAGTAATTTTTATTAACAATTAATGAGTTTGTACCTTTAAATCATTGTCAAAGTTATCAAGGTTTGTGCTGTTTTTTCCTTTGGGACTAACTTAATTGTAGTTTGGGACTAACTTAATTGTAGTTTGGGACTAACTTAATTGTAGTTTGGGACTAACTTAATTGTAGTTTGGGACTAACTTAATTGTAGTTTGGGACTAACTTAATTGTAGCTTGGGACTAACTTAATTGTAGTTTGGGACTAACTTAATTGTAGTTTGTCAATATCTTTCCATGTGTTGTAATATTACCTTTTAAGTAAAATAAATCTGTAATTAACTTCAGTTTTGCTACTTTAAAACAAAATTATTTTTCATGCTATTATAATATAAATTTTTTATTTAACATAACATAAATTTGTCATTGAATGTTTTGTTGTGTTGTTATATTGTAAAATTAATTTATGCTAATATATTGCTAATTACACATTTGCCATTGAATGTATTTTTATATTTATTGTAAATTGATATATTGAATGTAAATTGATATACTGTTATTTAATGTTGTTATATTATAAAATTGCAATATGCTAATTACACATTTACTAGCAAAATATTCATTCTCACATGTATATTTTATATATGATAGTATGGCATGTTTTAACTACAGGAGGAATCAGTAAAATCCAAGCTTACTAGATTGATCATAGAAAACAAATTTTATAAAAAAAGTCAATCGTTTTAAACAATGAAGCTTGATAGAAACGGGAAAAAAAACTTATTGCAGTAAATAAGAAATACAAAAACTTAATTCTGTAATTTATAAATAAAAGTTAATAAAACTACTCTTTAATGTAAATAAAGATTATTGGCATAATTTATTTTGTTTGTTTTGTTTTGCAAGAGTAAAGTAGATATTTGAATAGCTTTAATGTTGCTATTTTTATTTAATTTGAATTAAACTTAAAATAAAAACAATAAATATATAAAAGAGTTTTTATAGTACATAATCTGCATGAAGAAAATTAGTAATGGTAAAAAACAATTTTAAAGAAAATTTCGACCGCAAAGATAATGGACCTATGGCGGCAAGCCAGCAGCAAATCATAGTCAAAACTACATCAACTTGCCGTTAGCGGACCGACATTGCGCCTATATCGGCTTATTTCGGCTTGTCGTTTGCGGATTATCAAACAACCGATGTGCAAGCTTATTAGGCAACGTCGTGGTTTGCCGTTGTCGGGCCGGCGTGTGTTCTCCAAAAGGCCCGATAGCGGCCTATATATATCTTGCTCACTTGCAACTTTATTCAAATTTTGTTTTCCAAAATATTTACCTAATATTAATTTTTGCAATATAAATTAAAAAATGATTTAAAAAAATGGTTGCTAGCAACCGTTTATAACTGCCTTTAGTAACCTCTTTATAGAGGTAAATATAAGCAGTATTCACTATTTTAAAACTGCTTTTGCAATTTGTTTTGAAGTTAGGTAGTAAATCATTTAAGAGAAATTTGTTTAATTTCACAATGTTGTAGTTTCCTAAGAAAAATAGAGATACAATTTTTAAATGTTTTAAGGAAAGTTTGGTCTGTGTTCTTAAAAATGTTTATAACTTAGCCAAAGACATTGAAGAAATAAAACGTTGGCTAATTTTTGATGTTGATCAAATTAAAAAAAAAGTGAGCACGGTTGATAGTGAAATGGTAGAAATTAAATAAACGATTGTAAGAATTAAACCATTCCACGGAATATTAAGCAACTATTCAAATAAAAATAAAATAAAAACAATTGATCTCGAGATCGAAACCGACGTAACAGTCTAAAAATTGTTGGAATCAATGAAGCAAATAACGAATCTAAAATTTATGTTATTAAAAAAGTAAGCAGACTATTTAAAGAAGAATTTGGAATCGCGAATCCAGTTATTATAGAAAGAGCACATCGTTTCGGCAAATTTATTGGAAAATCTTGAAATATTGTCTGCAAAACATAAATCTGGCAGGATAATAAAAACTAAGACTAAGCAATGAAGCAAAACGAATTTGTAAAGAACTTTTTGTCCAAGCAAAAATACATCGTGGTAACGGAAAATATGCAAAAGTTATTTATAATCAATTAGTAGTAAGAGAAATGATAAAGAAGAACGAAGGTGTTGAAAGCAAGTAATTTATTTATTTACGTTTTAATAGTTTTATTAGCTACTAAATTTTTAAGTTTTTTGTTTAAAGATTATATTAACAATGAAGCAAATTTAACAAAATTAAAATCCCCTATTTTTGATATTTTGAAATATAACAAAAAAATAATAACTTTTTACTTATACATTTACTGAGATTTTATTTGCTTAAATAAAGAATATTATAAACCGGAAGAATTTAAGAAAAACTTAACAAAAATTTAAATATTCAAACGAAAACATATACGATCAATGAGCAAAAATTTTGAATTATTTAAACATTTATATTATTCTTTTAATTATTTTTTTGACGCAACATCTATATTAAAATTTAGCCTTAAAAAAAGTTATACGACATCTTTATGACACACTTAACTATATGTTTTTTTATTACAAAAGATCTACATCGTTTTTGTAGCAATAAGGATAATGGTTTTAACTGTAATAATAAAATAGATAAAATGTTTGATTATACAACTTTGAAAAACAAATATTTTTTTCATAATGCAGGTGACATAAAAAAATTAAGAGTTTAGAATTTTCATTTTTCAAGTTTTCGCAACTTGATAATGATTAAAAAATCTTTATCAGAAACTACTCATTTAACTTTTAGATCATTAGAATTTTTAGGGAAAACATTATTGAGTAAGATTGAGTAAGACGTTTGAGACAAATATTGTCTCTAATTTCACTGAGGATTTTGATGTTTTAAATCTAAAAGTTTATCCAAAAAAATTACACAAAAAAGTAAAACTTTTCTTTACAAAAAACTATTAAAAAAATAAGATTTTCATCAATTATTTTTTAATGTTAAAATATATAACATTGTGTAACATTTACAGTTTATTATCAGAATACTGAAGATAATTGAGAAAAGCTTGAGGAACACGAACCTGATTACATAAATGAAAGGATGAGGATAGTAAAAAACGTTTTTTATAATACTCTTTAAAGTATCTCTAATAAGAGTATGTAAAACATATTGTATATGATAACAGGGACAGTCTCTCTTTGTTTAATATTATAAAACATATAGCAATTGAAACCAACCGCTCTCTCTAAAGTTTTACTCTAAACTACCCACAACCTCTCTTTAAAGTATCAATACTTAGAGTATGTAAAACAAATTGTATTGTAAAAAATATAGTGAAACTTTCTTCTAGTTTTAAAATAAATAAAAGCAATTAGAATAAAAAACGCAATTTCTTTTCCATACATCCATATATATATTCTTTTCCAACACACCCTTATTAAATAAACGATCATGAGTAAAAAAAAGACAAAAAAGCATCAGAGCTAAATTTTCGGATCAACAATGCCAAGACATGAAGATGTAGAACTGTTGCTGTTTGTAATAAAAGTATTTATTATTTCAAAATATATATATTTTTTTTGTCGCCTTTATCCAAATAAACTAAATTAAATAACATAGTTTTTAAACTTATAAAAGTTAATTTTGGTAAAAAACCGTATAATTTATAGCAAGTGTTAAACGTATTTACTGTATTTTGTATATATATATATATATATATATATATATATATATATATATATATATATATAATATATATATATATATATATATATATATATATATATATATATGTATGTATATATATATATATATATATATATATATATATATATATATATATGTATATATATATAAATATATATATATATATATATATATATATATATATAAATATATATATGAAAAAGGAAATCGCTATGAATATTAATAATTGTTTAAGACTAGTAATCGAAATATACTATTATGGAAAAGCAGTTGCTAACTTATTCATATTCATAAAGTTTACAGACAACTTTTATAATGAAATACTAATGTTTGTATTATAAAGTACTTACCGAAATTCATAAATTTTCGTTCTAAGTTTAATAAAGGAAACATATATTTTAGTTGAATTTCAAGTTCATAGTAAGACACTAAGATAAAATAAAAGAATGACAATGCTGTTACAAACCACGAAATACGTAATAATTGCATATCACGTATTTCATTATTTATAACAAAAAAATTGTAAAAAGAAAAGCAAGAACATTAAAAAAACATTAAAAAAACATATTATAATAAGTCTAGCTCTATTTAAGCAAAAAGTTTTTAGAATTCAAGAACACTTGTTCTTGATTTCCCATAAGTTTTTGCCTAAATAGGGCTTAAGGAGAAATTATCGAAGTCAAATAGCTAACCATCTTAAATTTAAAAAATATAAATTTGGTTTATTGCTTGCTTTTTTACTTTTGTTTATTTTCTCAATGTTAATATATATATTCTTTTTTCAATTTATGGTTTTTCTTTTCATTTTTATTTAATAAAACTTATGAGTTATTTAAACTCAAAAGAATAAAAATTTAGACTTATATTACAATATCAAAATATAAACTGTGAGAAGTTTTTCATTATATAATTAGTTATTTTTATAAAGAAATTTTTCTTGGTTTTGAAAAAGTTTTATTTTCATTAAAGCAATATTTAGGTTCTTAAAAATTATTTAATGTTAATAATGGGTACTATAAAAAAAAACTATTTTAAATATTTTAATATATTAATAATATTAATATAATAAAAAATATTAATAATGGGAATTGCAGCCAACCTTCAACCTCTGTCACATCGTCGTAATGCTGCTTCTCTTTTTCTTTTCTACAAATACTATAATGAGCACTGCTCTAAAGAGCTAGCGTCTTTTGTGCCATCTACTAAAATTCATTCTCGTGTTACTCGTCATTCAATTAAGTCTCATCCTTTTTCTGTTTCTGTTCCTAAGTGCTCCAAAAACTCTTATTCGTTGAGTTTTTTTCCTCGAACATCAGTTCTTTGGAATTTGCTTCCTTCATCTTGCTTACCTAACTCATACACTGTAAAATGAATCGGTTTTATAGTGGTTTTTTGAAAAACCCGTTGGTTTTTCGAAAACCGAAAACATCCTACTGCTATTCGTATTCATTTGTTTATTGACGAATTTGAAACTGTTAACCCTTTAGGTTCTGAAAAAGGCAAACAAAAACTTTGTGGTGTATATTACACTATTGGAAATTTACATCCTCGTTATCACTCAATAACATCTCAAATACACCTTGTCATCCTGTGTAGGTCTAAAATACTGCAGTTTTTTTATCTTATGATGTATTAAAACCGCTCGTTGATGAACTTATACCTTTAATGAGTTCTTATGTGACTGTTATTCAGGGAGAAACTAAACACAGTCTTCATGTTTGTATTGCCTCAGTATCTGCAGACAATTTAGAGGCCCATTCGCTTGCTGGTTTTAGATGCTGTTTCAGTTCTGGTAGAATTTGTCGATTTTGTTTAGTTGATCATAAAACCATATCTTTGAGATACACAGAAGATTCTTGTTCGTTAAGAACAATTTCTAATTATAACACTCATCTGCAAGCAGTTAAAAGTTATTCTGCAAATAAAGCAATATTTGGAATAAATAAATCATGCAGTTTCGACAGATTGCCTTACTTTAATGTTATTGAATCCTTTCCACCAGACTTACATCATGACATTCTAGAGGGGATAGTTCCGCTACTTCTGAAATTGACAATCCAAAAACTGATTGAAAATAAGATCATAAATTTAATCCAGTTAAATTATGAAATAAAAACATTTCCATATGGATTTTATGATTCAAGAAATGTCCCATGTGAAATACGTAACCATTCGATTTCTGCAAATGGTCATCTCTTTGGAAAAGGTTCAGAAAATTGGTGTCTTTTTAGAAATTTTTCAATAATTATTATTGATTATCTTTCTATCCATGGTGATAATAAAGTTTTTTTGCTGTTTCTTCAAATATGTGACATTTTATTTTCTTTTACAATTAAATGTGATCAAATTACATATTTAACATACCTAATTGGGAATTTCTTGTATATGTTTAATATTGAATATCCTGACAAAATGACTCCGAAAGTGCATTATCTTATACATTACCCAAGAATGCTGTGTTTATTTGGCCCTTTAAGACATTTATGGTGTATGAGGTTTGAATCTAAGCACAATTATTTTAAAAGGTTGTGCCACATTATCTCCAACTTCAAAAATATTACTTTTACATTATCAAAGCGACATGAAATGCAGAATTAAACTCTTATGATTGTCTGCGAAACAATGAAGATGAGAAGAATGGAGTTACAATATCAACTTTGTGTCTTCCAAAAAATATTTAAGATGAACTATTTGATTATTTTATATATATAATATTAGTGAAATATTTAAAGCTTTTATAAAAAATATTTTATGTATATAATATTAGTGAAATATTTAAAGCTACAAGTGTATCTATTAATCATGTAACTTATCATGTTAAGGACTATCTTGTTTTATCGGTTCAAGATGATGGAATTCCTATTTTTTTATGCATATTGTATCTGCTTAAACACTCTAAAAGGTGGTACTTTGTTGGAAATATTTGCACCTGCTCACAGTTTTTACACTAATGTCATTCATTTTGCTTAACTGCATTCTCCACATTATGCATTCAACCTGTTGGAACTGAAGCTTCTCCTGAACCACTTGATGGGTATATAACATCAGTGGGATGCCTAGTTATCAAGTCAAGTGGGAAATTGTTTGTATTAATACAAACAATTTTTGTAAATGGATATATTGTTAGATATATTGAAACTTACTCACTTTAAAATTCCTTGAGTTGAAGTAAGGCGAAATGACACCTTTATAATTACTCACTAGTAATTATAAAATAAAATAAAGGAATTTTAAAAAACATTTTTTATTTATTATATTTAATATATTTATTAATATATGATGAATGTTTTTGTGTATTATACCCATATATTCAATAAAAATAAGTTGTTCTTTATTTCTTGCATTTGTGGTTTTTTTTATAATAAATATTTCAGTCTTTCATTAAATGCAGTATTTTTATAATTGCAAATTATTAATTAAATATTTACATTTTTGTAAACCTTTTTTTTTGTGTATACATTCTAGAGGAAGATATAAATGATACAGTTTTGCTGGACATATATGACTATACATTAAAGGAGCTTATTCCCATTATTAAATTAAGAATAACATTTAAAAAAGATGTAAGTATTCTTAAAAAGTTATGTACTGAAGTAAGTTGTTCTGGATCGCTAATTTTGAGTCAGTCCTCGCAATCTGTAGTTGATTTTAACCTTCCAATTTTAAATTCAACTTCAAGGTAAGGATTTTATAGGATCATAGTAAGATATCAAAATAAGTATATATAATAGTAAATATCTCGAAGCAGTAACTCT